GCTCTCTGTACGAGGTCCTGCCTTGTCTTACATCAGCGTGGATAGGTCGGGGGCTAGCGTGAGACAGGGCTTCTGGGGCACAGGTTATCTGAGTTTGTGGTCTTGGTTACTGGCAAAACTCAACACTGCTGCAGGTTCGAAATTTCACAAGGGGAAGCCCTAGGTACAGTGTGGTTGACATGTCTTGGTGCGCCAACGTTTATGGATGCGGAAACGTTTTGCTGGTACAAAGTAAATTAAAAACGTTTGGACAATTAACAAGGCAGTCGCGTGAGTGGAAGAGAACTCTCCAAAGCTGATTTTGGTTCATTTTCTTTTCTATTAGTTTCGACAGTGTAAGAATTCCCCCCTATATTCTCCCAATAGGTGAAAAGCTCAAGAAAAGTAGTAAATAGTTAAAATGTGATGCTGATGGAATTCAGTGTCGTGTGACTTTTCAATTGAAATTCTTGCAATTTCAGATGAAATTTACGATTCAAGTTGATTATACAACTAATGACTTTTGTGTTCCACTTAAACTGTTCCACGTTTTGACTTGGAAATGCAACTTCACAAAAACAAAGTCCGGTTCTCAAATACGGACAGGACGTGGCTAGCACAGCATTCAGCGACCACCGTTGCATACCGAATCTCCTAAATGATACATCACAATCTTTTAAAGACCACTTCTAAAACCAAAGCGCTATCCACACATTTCATTTGGGTGCACAGTCAAGACTACGAGCAGTGCCGCATCTGAGGAGCTACCACAAAGGCTCCATCTGGATTAAAACACTTCAGGAATCTGTAATAAGGCATGACCGTGTGGTGAGGCAAAGGGACCAGTCGTCACAATTTGTATGACAGTTTGGGAGCGAATATACATAGTTTTGAATAAATTTCGGCCCAGAATTTGCCAAATGATGATTAACTTCAACATGTCACTTGCAAGGCTTCTAACTGGAAAGTGCTCGGCTCCTACAACAAAAAGGGGGTAGATTACAGCCTAGCTGGAAGTCCTTGGGTCGTATTTACTTAATCTGACGCGTTAAATCAGCAGTTTATCAGTTGGGACATTTACGATTCCGCTAAGTACATGTTCATTTTTTGTGAATTAGCCAATATATTTTTCTAACTAGAACTGTCGTTCGCCAAGCAGGTTGGACCACCACAAGTTGGGAAGCGTCTCAACCGAAATTTTAATTGGTATCATCGGCCGGGAACAGCTGACAGAATTCAAGTTTGCTGTTATAAAAAGCTTGCAGAAACGTTGTGGAAAGGCGCAGTGTAGAACCCCAATGCGTTACACTTTTTGACAGGGTAGCAATGCAAACTAGTGCCACAAACGCTCTGGATACCCAAATACTTAATCGATGGTTTGAGAGATCATGCAAGATGAGCCGAAATCCGGCAAGCCTATTAAATTTAAATGCTGGTTCTTTCTTTAGCTGAGCTCAATGCCTATCCCACGCAGGCACTTAAAGAAACCGTGCAAACGCTGAAATCATCACATTCCCCAGTACTAACGTTCTCCCGGAAGCTGAATAAAGTGCACAGCAAAGGAATGTGGGTTTTCCACCAACTTCTAGTAAAAACAGTTCCAACGAGGGACCATTAGCAGGGTGAGTTTATTCAGTTCGGGAAATAAGCAACTTCCTCAACAAATTGCCAGTTGGGATGCAGCGTGAGCTTAAATAACAACTGCTACTACTGCCTCTGCTGGATGTTCGCCTTCACCCGAAAAAATCCTTATTGTCGCTTGAGTGGGACTTTACACATATCATTAACTCAAGATTTGTTAATTTTAACGAAACCATAACTACTAGAGCACTGCTAATGTGCACTCCGATAGAATGAAAGGGGCTCTGTTCCGGAGCCGGTGTAATGCAAAATCCCAAGGAAAACTTTGTCTTGTCCACTAGATGTAGCTCCGTCTGACTTCTATCTTTAAACATGCACGGCATCCATTAAAACCAACCCAAACGAATACTTTACTATGAAGTTGCGAAGTGAAAGTGAACTGGAAGATAATCGTTGATAGCGCAACGCATTTTGCAAACTACTTTGCCCTAAATGCTCGACAAAATTGTGTTAATTTACGAAGAGAAATAACATTCCTTAGTTATTTGAATAGACTCCACAAATGCACCCATTGCAAAGGACTGCCTCCATGTTGGTTACGTGAAATTAGTATTTGTGAGTACAAACTTTTAGAAGGGCCAAACCTACTGGTAGCGTTCTTCTTAAAAGCGCCCCACCACGTGAACTTTCATTTATTTAATGTTTAGACAGCCAGATTACCAATAGACAAGTGAACTGTTGTACGACGACCGACACCATTGTTTCTGCAAGTGAAATCGCAACGCAAAAGCAACAGCTTTCCGATTTTAAGCTTTGCGATGACAGCATTAACCGCGAGAGAAAGACGGTCACGGCGTTCACGGAGCACCCCAGCGATGAAGCCAGTTAGATGGGTTGTACACGTCCTCGCGCTCATCAAACTAGCCTTGTCTGCACTGCCACTCTTTGTTGCAAGGCCTGAAGTGGCGGATCATTTGTATTCACGTGACTGATTCGCAAATATTACGACCTGATCATCAACGAGGATAAAGTGACTTGGGAACCGCATAAGAACAATGCAACAATTAAACCAAAGACTCATTGTTTAAAAGAAAGTTGGGAATATTTTTACGAAAACATTCAGGGAGGGTATTACATGAAAAACAATCAAAGTGACGAAGGAGACAAGTTTAATTAATGCAAAATGACATTGATCTACTCCAATTAGTACGGTACCTAAAACTTCAAGTCTGAATCAACAGCACATCGTTCAATAAAATTGCTGTTCCGCCTTTCTTAGTTGTCTCCAGTGCCATCGAGGACAGGAGTGCCGGTGACAGTTTCGTGAAAAGCTGCAGCCACGTAATCCATGTTATTCACATTCAGACCGCACATGTTCATTCGACCGTCCCCGGTGAGGTAAATGTGGTACTTTTCCCTCAGGTGGTCAGTTTGTTCACCTTGGGAAGAGATCGGATGGAAACAGGGGAATGCAAAATGTCAGAAACATGCAAGCCAGAAATTACACACAAAACACGCCAATTTGACAGAACACAAAGTGGAGCGTTCAGTCTCGATTGTGGAAATAGCAAAACGTTTTACAAGACTACGGTCGCTGAAGAGCCTACTTCAATGACAACCTAAAAATCTTGACTTGCTATGTCTATAAAACACTTCAAATGTGTGGCGGATTGTCACTATTATTCGCGATAACTCCAGTTGCGTTCGTCCGTTTGGCGTTCGGCAGCCAAGAATGCAAATCTGGGGCCATCAGATGCTCGGACATCCGATTACAGAATTTTTTACATCGGCTCAAGCTTGCAAAATAGGAAAAGCTCAATTCTTTACTGGCTGGCCTTGTCGTAGAAGGGGTAAGCGGCTGTGCCTGCCCTTGCCCGATTCGCATTCATGGCCATCCAACGCCAACACGGACGAATGCACCTGGAGCTTTCGGGACAAGTAGTAGAGAGTATCTACAGTAATGGGCTCATGACGGCATTATTAAATTTGCCGGAACAATCTGTGACGCTAAGTACGAAGGCAATCGGAAGAATAAAAGGGGTGTGAGAAAAGTAAGGCTAAAGTGGTGACGACAAAAGCACAGATTATCGGCTTAACTGGGTGGGTTCAAAACGCCGCCACCAATAGGTAGTGACCGATAAACAATCATGGCAGTAGACTAGCAACAAAACGTAAACATTAAAGTCTGAATTTAATGGCGACACGATGATAAGGACTGATGCCTTTAAGTACACACCGGATGGTTACTGTCAGTTGGAAAACTCGGTGTATTTGGTGGAAAAGAAAGACACTTACGAGATAGGCCAGTGTATGAGAACATTCCCCGTTGAATTATAATGTTGTCCCAATTTCCGGGAGTGCCTAGGGCTTTGAGCTTTTCATGGAATTGTTTGCGAGTTTTAATTATTCGTTGTGACATTTCCCTTAGGTTTTGTTTCCTGTGGAAAAAGGAATAGTTAAGAAAGAAGAGCCTTAAATCAACTCTACAAACAGCATTGCTAATACTTGCAGTAATTTTATCTAGTTTTTCAGAAGCTTGGTATTTAAATATAAAGTGCTAATTGGGTTGTGTTAGTATGAAAAAGGGTATAACCAATAAGAAGAACTAACACAAGGACCAATGGACTTTTACCATTCTTCAATTAGCTCAGGATCGTTCAGCACTGAGGAGACGATATAGGATCCGTGGTGGACAGGAGATGACCAAACGTATCTCGCCAGAACCAGAAGTTGTGACTTGACGCGTGCTGTCATCTCTGGGGCGCGAGTAACGAATACAAGATTCCCCACCCGCTCATCTGGTTTACAAAGAATTATTCAACTCAAAAGTCAGCACAAGGTCAAAAAATACTGGAGTATGGCGTACTGTAGAGTCCAAAGTTTTTGGAGAAGGACTGCGCGGCGAATAACTCAAAGCCCTGCTCTAAGAACATTCGAATGGCCCAAGCGTCCTCATCGAGATCACCAGATGCAAATCCTTGATAAGCAATGTCAAAAAGCGGAAAAAGGCGGCGTGCCTGAAAAGCGAAATTTCCAGTAAATTGTCCCTAGTATGCAGTCTGGTGTAAATGTAAAAATAGAGAATTACCTATTGTTAGTCTTCCCTTACACAACCATAGACCCCCTGACCCTTTCAAATAGGCTTAATATGACGAAAGAAGACACATTAAAAGGTATCGAAACAAGCAGTGTTGATTTAGGCCCCAAAACTGATGCCTATTTCAAAATGAACAAAAGAAATTTCTGTCACGCACGCATGGGGTTCCCCTCAGTTATGAAACTAACGTTGCCACGACATGAACTTACCAATATTAACGTATAATACAAACATCTTTCCTACCTGCCAAAACATTTAGGAAGTAGCTTTTGCAGGCACAAAAAAACCGTGAAATCGGCTTTTAGATCGCCTATTTTTGGGGTGAGCCGAAAAGTGATTTGACATTGACCACATTCCTGACGACGAACGAGTTCGGATCATTCCTATTTGTTCCAATTAGTATAGGAAGTAGTACTTGAAAATTGAGTACAATCGCTATGGTGTAAAAGTGTCCACCGGTCATGTAGCAAAATAAAATTATCGAGCAATTTTTATGAACTCTATACTAGCCATTACGCAAAACCCAGTAGAGGGGAATACGAGTGCCTAATCGGTAAAAAAAAACCGTGACCAAGCCGTGATTCGGAGGACCAAAGGTCTATGATAGCAACTAGACCAACAACAGCAGGACAAACTAGAAGCAGAGATTGCGTCAAAAGTATCATTAAAAATGCATGCCTTCATTATGCGGGAAATTTCCAGCCATTGGTCCTTATTTAAATCCATTCCAGTGGGATTGTGAGCACAGGAGTGAAGGACCACAACGCTTCCCATGCGTGCATTCGAAAGGTCTTCCAGCAAGCCATTGATGTCAAGGCATTGATTTTTCCAGTCCCAGTAACGGTATTCATCAACATGAAAACCTTCGTGGCTAAATATTCCCCTATGACTTGCTACAGGACGATAACTAAAATATCAAGCCTTACGCCAACTGGGGCTTGAAATATAAACAGTATTAAGATTAAGGACTTTGCGGAGAAACCTGGAGGACAAAAATACCGCACCACTTCCTCCAATTGTCTGAACGCCACCGGCCTAAAAGGCTAAATAGATTAAAGTGATGAGGCTTACTGATTTAGTTACATAAGCAGGGTGACGATCACCAAGCAGTAATCGTATTCCAGCATCACATAGAGCTGCTCTTCCGGTAATAGGGAGGTAGTCTGCATTAAGAGATTCATCTCCAGCCATCTTAATCTCCATTTTCTTAACAACGGGGATTTTAATTGCCTTGCCGTCAAAGTTTCGATAAACTAGAAGATAATCATGCGACTGAATTTACCTCCGAGCGTCAAATTTACTTTCCCAGGAAAATTGTCATTAATGCATTGCTCCGACAAAGCTGCGGCCTCAACTACAGGAGCTTGCAGGACATTTGCGAATACAGAGGACATTTTGATATAGCAAACCGCTGATGGAACGTAATAAGAATTTAAGATAAATTGGCTTAAATAAAATGAGTTCCGCTCAATCAAACCAACAGGCAACGAACGAAGAAAATAACATGTTAATTAGTGAAAAAATTGCACGGAGATGGTTTCCAATAAGCCCCTGGCTTGAAGCCTAGACAAGGCCTGGCTTTCGGGTCATGTCTGTACCAAATCAGTGTGTTCATCATTTAAGGCGACGAGACAAAGTAGAGGCGCAGACATTTTGGATCACGCCAGCCTCAGCCAATCTTGTCTCTTTGCGTTCAAAGAGGGCAGGCTTTCCAGACCATCTACATCGCAGAACCGCACACTAGGCGACATTCATCCGAATCCCCTAAACCGACTGCGACGCACGTTTTCTGGTGGTCCTCTTCCGTCTTTGTTTCTAATTTTTCTACATAGGCTATTCGAAAGTACGTAAAGAGGGGAATCACTGAAATGGTCTTGATCCAATGCTTGCACATTAAGACGATATTACTGTCAAACACCTTAACCCTAGTACGAAGATGACTGTTTAAACATAGCAAACCTTGTTGACAGACCACAAGCCAGAATTGTTTGTCCGGCATCGTCCACTTGAGTCTATAATGGTTGCTGCACCGCTCATTATGTATTGCTTCTTCTCCGACCTTGACTCTGGTTACCCGCAGATCTTCCTAACAGTCAATTTAAGCGTACAAAGACAGAAGATTGGCAGAGATAGGCTTGTTCATAAATTTATGCACTTTATTTAGTCACTGGATTACACAAATTGTAGCATACACAAGTCCTAGCATGAGAAAGACTGGAATACCAGACAAGACTTTATCGACCAATCGCGAGTCCTAACCACGCACCTTCTATCCGAGTCCACCGGGCTTGCTGAGGCGCTATTTATATACTGCTTTTCATTCGTGTCTCTGTCTCTGGTTGGCTGCGTTTCTTCCTTGCAGGCCATTCGTACACTATGAGATAGAGGATTGGCTGAGGCCGGCGTGGTCTAATATGTCTTCGCCCTTTTTCGTCGCTCTCCAGAAAGTTCATATTTGGAGATGAGTGAGAGGGGTGTCTTGGAGCGCTGCTTAACTGTCTACTTTAAGTCATTTGACCGATTGAAAGAAAACATTATGGTTGTGTTGATTCTTATTCCTGACTCTCATAGGCACTCTTGCAGAATTATTATCTTTTTATAAAGGAGAAAGTTGATTGTGAGTCCGGAGAGTAAGTTCCGTTCTATATCATAAAAGCTGAATTATGTGCCGGGATTTGTCTCAGTGTTCCTATTTGCTGTTAATTTCCTTGATTTTCCTTTATATATCCCTCAATAACTGTTTAATGGTACATATATTTCACCGATCTGGCTACCAGGGTTTGTCGTAGGTCCGTCATTTGTTTACTTAATGACCGTGGGGATAACTTTATGAGAAACCACCAAATGGATAGATTGTTAGGGTAACGTCTAAATATTCAATGTGGTAAGGTTGTGTTCTTCCTAAATTTGGCTAATTGTATAGTTTTCATGTCATTGCGTTGAAGCTCCTTCAGTGTCACACAAATGGTAACCTAACGTTCTACGAGTTGCCTTCTTTCCAACTAGGCTAGTTCATAGCACCAAATGGCTACACATTTTGGACAGAGAACCGCGAACTCACTAGACCCTCTCATTAATCTTGTTCGCCAACCTAACGCGTGAATAAAATTGTAACATACTTTGTGGTAGTAAAATGCACGGGTAGGTGGTTGGACGTGTGATACTTATGCCCCGCCACTATCATTGTAGGTTTCGCGGATTTTCATACTTCTCAATTGCATAAGTGGGCTCTATTCTATCCTCAAAGTGTAATTTAACACTAATTTTATCTTTTGAAGTTCTCTTTTTATTCTAAAGGCGACTTGCTGTTAATTCGCAATCCTTCAACAACTCCGTAATCGAAGCTCTAAATCGTTGTGACGAATTGGAAACTCAACTTCAGGGTTTTGAATCTTGGATTGACCTGCCAATTATTAATCCATCGGATCCTTCTGCCAATTTCGACGAGGTGTCTGACGATGCACAGCGTCTCGTTGATATCCTACAGCAGGTTCAATCTGCTCTTCTCTCAGCGGTTTCTAATGAGGCGTTGAAAGATACTCTGCCGGAGTTCCAATCTAACGCTGTTCTAAAAGCCGAGTATCCTCCTCCGCTTCAGGGAATCGTTCAAGGTGCAAGACCCCAGGTTTTGCAACATTATTATCAGCTCCACAATCCAGAAATTCCTGAGTTATCGGCGAGCATGGAGTCACCGTCGGCCGCGTTTATTCAGGAAGAACAGACGGCAAACCCGGAAAGTGAAGCCTCAATCTCAGTTGGTGCTCGCAACCCAACCATCGTCCCTCCGGCTAGTGGGCACTTGGTGCAATCTCAGCATCCACTTACCCCTCAAAAGCAATCTAGAAGAGCATATGACGAAGTCTCTTCGTCTTACAATCAACATCAAGCCATAAGCAGAACCGGCTCAGATCCCAATTTGGTGGGACAACCAATGCAAATGCACCAGGATGCCCTTGGCAACAGACACATGCAAGGGTCTTCACAGCAAAACATACAACTGCCCCACACCTCGTCGGCGTACAGTTTCCGACCCAATCCGGGATGAATTTGATTAACCTTTGCTATGTACATAACCGCATCATTTCTTGTATTTGCAATAAAGTCCTTCCCAATCAAAACTAAGTGATTGTCTGCTTGCGAAATTCTGACTTAACTCGGAGTGTCTGCTTACTTAATACGAGCATTTCGAATAGCATCGCAACCAGGGATAAGACGTGTTATTGACTTTGAGATTGTCCATGCCTTTCTCTTATTGAATTTTACTGGCGCATGATGTAGCTACTGCCTCCTAAATGGTCATTACTCTGATAACCATAATACGGTTGTAACCTACACCTGTGCGTTTTTATAGTGTGGAAAATAGGGACACCTGCACAACACAACCGTTCGGCAGCATCTTAACTGAGGATGGCGAGAGCAGCGACATCTAAATTGCTACATTTACCCCGGTCGGCATTCTTTTGTCGGTTTACCGCCACTTGGCGCAGTCGAGCTATAATGGAGCTGACACGAGCTACCGATGCGGGACCCACGCTAGTTGGAGGCACAGGTGGTGGATCGGGGGTCCGAGGTCCACAGCCTTACATGCAGCCAAAGCCGTCCAACATTCGTTATAATCCACGGATGTACGACGGAGGCGTTCTGCCCCGTATTGAGTGGGACGATGAGCCGGTGCGACTACCCGATTATGAACCAATAGATCAGTGGGCACCGCACCGCGCCTACTTCGGACAAAACGACTATATTGGTAAGCTGTTGCCTCAGCATTCTTTTCCAGGATAAATTTCATTTCAAATTCACATCTTTTTTAGACATCCTTGGGGATGGTAGACTTGGGCCTGCTGATTTCTATACAGGACCATCCTGGGCACTCAATGCCAGAAACGAGTTCCAACGCGTTTGTCGCCTCCTTTACGACCCAGCAGTGGTAGCTTGGTTGGAAGAGTTTGAGCCTACTCGACTGAAAGATCTTAGGAAGAGGCATAAGTTCCTGTATACTCGGGTGAACAAGCGGAAAAATATCAAGTTTAAGCGTTTCCGTGACGCCCCCTAAAGGTAACTATCGTTCCAACTAGCAAAATGCTACACGGAATCTTCTGCCTTGATTGCTCTCCATGTAAAACACTTTTTAAACAAAAGCTCTGAAACCACGTCCTGCCCACTCTTGGTTGTCACTTATTAGTCTTTCCTGTGCAGTGTGCCAGTACCCGTTGCGATATTTTACAAAATAAAAGTGACAATGAACAAAGCACTCATATTGAGTATGAGAAAATAAGTTTACAAAAGCATGCCGTCAAGAAATTCAAGCTGGGGATGCCACTGAATTGCTTGCTCTATGTGAGCCATTGTTAGCGTTTTTTTCCCAGATTCAATGGTAATCTGATGGCTTTCAGAAACAAGATAGCCTATGAACATTTCTGTAGCTTTGCTAATTAAGGCAATTGCTTCAGAGTTTACTAAATGAACGGTAGGGACAGCTTTTATAATAGCTTTGAGCCGTGAAATGGGCAGTTTGACAAGTCTCGTCGGTGCCCAATCGACTTCTTGGGGTTCTGAATTCGCAACTAGAATACATTGAACACTCTATAATTAGAAAGTTACCGCATTGATCCGCATTCCCAGCCGGGGACTCATCTACGTCGCCACAGATTTCGCCTTCTCTGTCTAAAAGTGTCAAATTGCATAGAAGTAAATACCAGCATCTTGAAAGGATTCATCCGAATAGTTTCTTTCAACCATAGACGGTACTAACAAGTCTGCATCCTCATCAGATTCGGGGCCTTGAGGTTCAGTACGCTTAGATTCGCATTTCTCGTCATCAGTCATTTGAGGTAAAATTTTGACTAAAACACGAGGTATATTGACTGATGATATGGGCTTTCAGGATAATTCAGGGACAATAAACGAATGGTAGGACCACCGCAGTTCATTTGAAAAGCGGAAAGGTTGATTAGAAAGGTTGCATGGATCCCACAAATTAAAGATTGCTCAAACTCCATGGATAAAAATGGGGTAATTGGAGCTGAGCACCACAGCTCCGTCCACAAGAAATGCGAGGACTGGCCTGATTGGTGCGGGATAAAGGGCAAGTAAGGGTTGCGGGGAATTCCCATCCCCCGGAAACATGGCGAGTAATTACTGAGGACTCGAAAAGTCGGGAAGTGGGTTGATGCGAAGATAGAGTAGATTGAGATATACATTTGATTATAAATTGAGAATGATAAGGCAGTGACTTACGTGGGCATTCGGTGGAGTATACAAAGTAGTCTGCATAAAACCTAATCTATGTGTAGCAGATTTACGTAAATCGACAAGGGACTGGGAAGCTGTAGGCTAGCACAAAATAGGACGGCACAAAGTATGCGTTTCGGAAAGCGACAGTAAAATCTGTTTCAAGCAAGAATGACAGTGACAGTGTCACACAATCATCTTCGTGATGACACACGATCAAGTTTACTCATTACAAATAAAGATTGGTGGCTAGGTATTCACTACAGGTGAATTAAGATTGATGACCACTACATGAGTACGTGCGATTTATAATACAATAATGGAAGAGGAATGAGGATGGTGGGGCAGTTGCAACAACAGAATAAATGTCTGCTATGTAAAAAATCGCATGAAAAATGAGAGAGAACGACATTGAGGGCATTTGGAAAAAAGTAGAAATAAGGCGGCAAAATTAACTAGCCCAATAGTGATGCGCTAAAACATTGTGAATGATTCATGCAGTGTGAAAACTTAAAATATAAGCAGACCTGGTTTAAAATAATATATAAATAACAAAGGTAAGGTGAAATTCAGAAGATCTGTTGTCTTTGGTTTTCAGTTTCTGTGAGTTTGATTATTTGGCATGTAATATCAGAATTAGGCAACTCCGTAGTGCAAAAATTATAACAGGTGCTTATGCTTTTAAAATTTTATTTTTAATTAATGTAGGGTGATAGTTATTGTCTTTCTTCAAAGTGCTTCAAATCCAGATGCACATTTCACAGTTTCCATTTTTTACACGCTATCAAGTTTTGTTAATCTTATAATTTTTTAAGAATAATACTTTTTTAATAATGACATTCGATTATTAAACAAGGGCCTGCAGCTATGACGTAGCAATTTTTCTGTGGAACAGGAATTTATTCCAAAGGTAAACATTTAGAATGCAGGATTTTATGAATTGATGGATTACCCGATGGCGTGACTACCACCAAAGGCATTTAGGTAACTCTAAACAAAAAACTCCTATTATGGATTTACCCTTTGTTCAAATATTCGACCTTGTTCAGCTTAGCGACCAGTTGATTTGCTTATATTCCTGATGCAGAATCTTGTTTGTGGAATCTCTTTCCGAGTTAAGCAACAGAAATCTTTCGGCTGACTATTCTTCGTATTTTTAAACAGCCAATGATGCGAGCAAGATTTTCATTATTTCAGCAGGAGTGTAATGGCAATACAAGTCACCAAAAGGCAATCAAATTTCGCCGGGGGTTGATGCGATTTGAACAGGCAATCCGACCTTTTTTGCTAACTAATGTAATATTGCTTTTGCATATTATAAGTTAAAGTATCTTCGCCTCATCTGTTGTATGAAAATAACTGAGTAATTTTGAGCCTAAAAGTGCTATGATTAAAAAAGTCAAAGACATCTGGCTGTTCGTCGTCATTTACTCATCCAATAACATAACGCTTTCTTTTTTAATAATTAAGTGTTTGGTTTTGTATTTGTACTATTATTTGCTTTAATATACATTTATGGGCAAAATACTTCGATTCAGTTATTTCAATGTGTACCCCATGCATATTAAAGTGAACGGAACGTGCACATTGTACGACCAAAGTATGTTATCAAATTTATTTTAATACACACATTTTAAGCACATTAGAGCTATTTCTTCAAACGATACCTGAGTGTACATAAAACATGAAAATGTGGCAAGGCAACATTTAAACCTTAATTTAAATTCTTTAGTATCAATAAAACATACACGATAGCAAAATTATTTGCTGCGTTTTGCTCTAGGAAACGTCATCATGCCAATAAACGCAGTGCTTATTCCGATTCGGACATAAAACCATCAATTAACACGTCTTATATTAAGAGTAAATGTGGTGATCAATCGATAATGCCTTACCCATTCACACTAGGCACAAAAGAGTTAATTTTTTTGACAGTCCAAATTTTTGTCAGGATAGAACACAAAGTACATCTGAAAATAATTCCTTGGATGTCTTGAAAAACGATTTTAGATTACTTTCAAACCCACGGTTACTTTGGATGGCGTCAACATACACAAACGCATACAGCACTAGTGAGCTCATTGGAACAAACAGTAAGAGACTGGCTAAAGAGCTAATTCGGCAATGAAGTAATCAGCACGCTCAGTTTTATGAGATGGAAGAAGTCCGATCCATGAAAGAAAAGAAATCGAGTGAGCAGTGTTTAGTAAGAACTTTGGTTACGTTCAATTCATGTGGATTTGTAACCTTACATTGGTCCTGTCTGTATCTCAACATTAACTGGTTAAAATCCATGTAAATATTTAAAAAAAAATGTAATCAAAGAAGCAGTTGGAGAAAAGTTTGAAACGTTTATGAATTTTTGAGGGAAAAAGTGTTATGGTGACACCACCAATTAGTCTTCAATTAACAAATTAAATGCCTGTGGGGATTCTGGAGCAACCTGAGTGACATGGAAAGGACTTTTTATTTGCTGCCATAGTGGGTACTTTTATATTGAATGTTGCGTGCATTTAAACTTTCACGTCTTTTAAGAACACGCATGCATCTATATTTTTTCCTTCCCACAAAACAATGATTTTTTGAACGAAAATTCATCTGGGTTTTTTAGAACGATATATGTTTTTCAAAACGTCTGATATCCAAAACGTTTTACGAACCATAATAAGAAAAAAATGGATTGGTCTTGTGTATTACGGCTTTTGTCATCTTGTCTACGAAATCACTAAAACCGACTGTCGTGTATTTAAGCGGTCTCTGTCGGTCTGCTTTGAAAAAGCCCTACCTTGTTAAAATGAATAGAGCTATCAAACTGAGCTCTCATTTGTAGCGGTGGGCCCAATTAAAACAATATTCTTAATGGTTTGAAGTAGATTTAATTAACTCACATTACTTAATTCCACTTATTATTGAATTTTGCAACCTGTCGCTTATTTAGAGTGGGCAATTAATGGGTGTCTTCGTATAAAAATCTGTAAATGGGCATTTATAGCAATTGTCGTTCATCGCATGAGCATGGGATCATAACAACAGAAAGAATCTTGCTTATATTTGCTAAGTTAATTCTCTGTCCCTGCTGTTTCTTGCACATTACATAAGTACATTACAAATTAATTCTAAGGCCCACCGCATGCGCTCATCACGTTGATGACACTTTAAACAGCATAGCTGACTATATCCACGATGCAAATATGCCATGGTCATGGCTCTGATATTGTGGATCAAGCTCTGTAAACTTGAACCAGCAGACCTAAACAGGTACTGCAACATATTCCTTTCGTCGAATTCACAGGCCAGCTATTGGACAATGCCATTCGGGCCACCACACGGATATTTGGTAGGCGCTACTTCCTCTTGAGGACAATGTACAGAGACGTCGAAATGGTAATACATATTTAAGATGATTTGTTAATCCATATTGTATTCATCAATAGTTAATGTGAAATATTTTGATGAAAATCGTGAACAGGAAGCCAGGTCAAGTCTCTTAATCTCAGTGGCAACTTGCAGCCCCCTAGGGTTGCAGATATTGAAACATGTTTGCTCAGTCTCCTTGAGAAAAATCCTTCGTTGTTTCTCAACACTGATAAGTAAGCCAATCAAATGACACCTATTTAAGTAAATTTGGTGGCCAAAGCAATTCAAAAATTTATGTAACGCATCTGGCTGCCAAACATTCTAGTTCCTCAAATCCTGGCTCAGTAAGCTGTGGTGTGTCACAGACTGACACGAGTTGCGATGGTGCATTAATGGGCCGACCTCGTCCAAAGGACTTCCTTTACGTGTTTTCACCTTGTCAGATTTCACTTCGTCGAACGGCAT